AATAAATGAACAAACTGAGATCTTCAAATGAACAACACATTCTTCCTCAGGTCAACTTTGCAGAGAAAGCAAATATTTCAGGAGAGTATGGTTACTGCTCATAGCTCTCTGGAGCCAGCCTGCAAAATCCTCTGCGGTGGCTGTAAATCTGATGGTGGTTCAGTTTAAGGACCTCGCAGATGCTGTTTCAGACTGATATAATGTACCATAAATGGGATTGAAAGCACACATCTATAGCAGATAAAGCCTTTCTGGTTCATTCAAACACTGAGGAAACCGACCATTGTATATATATGCAATTGGGATTCATCCAAAAGTGAGTGGTAGCCAAAAGAATTTACACATTCCCTGGCTGGGAACATGTTGATTTCAGAAGGCAACAAAGGTAACACAAGGATACAGGGAAACTCCCTTGCCTGGCATTCAGTATTTGAACCTCATCCTTTGATTCACCATGAGAGGGAAGAGTCCCAGGAGCCCCCACCATATAAGATATTCCTCATTTAGAGGCAACAAGGCATTTAGTCTCCATGTGATGGGAAGAAAATAGAAGCTGCTCTCAGAGTCTCAGGCTGAACTTTAGGAAGATTCTGTCTAGCTAAAGCAAAATATCAATTGATACCATGCTTGTGGCATGCATTTCTATGAAGCACTGCAGAGAACGAAATTGGTCCAGAAAGGCTTTGGGGTGCAATTCATCAGCTCTCAGTACCAGATGACAGCCACCAGACCCCCCATATATCAATAGAGGGTAAAGGTGCACCAGTAACTCCAAGTGCACACCATGGCAGGGGGAGCCTGTCTCCAAAATGTGAGACTGTGTCTAATTAAGGAGGTCAGGGAAGGGTCCCCTGGGGCAGATGGCCACATCAGAGGTACGTGGGGCACCCTGGGAAGCTGTGCTCCTGACGGCACTCCCACGTGGGCCACAGAATGAGAGGGATGCGTGGTCTGCTCCTGCCTGGCAGTTTCTGTGCAAAATGGGGCCAATGTGCTGGGAAGCTTCCCACTCCCAAGGAGGGAAGAGGTGGGCCGTGAGTTTAACAAACATTTTGGTATTTGGAAGTCATTCCCAGCTCTCGTTTAACACACAGACTGCATTTCCCGTTGCTAACTGGCAGCAAAGAGCTCATCAACATTTAAATAAGAGGCTTGTTAATGCCAGCGTGAGGCAGGTTTGCATGCCAAGGCTGGCTAAGGTTTCGTGCCAAGGATTTTCTAAGAGAGAATTTCTCTAGGAAACTCCTTTAAAAGGAAGAATTCACTTCTGGTTAAAGAGAGCGAGGGCTTAATTTGAAGAGGTGCTGAGCTGGTTAAGTCAAATGGATGGTGCAAGAGCTAAAAGCCTGTGAAAATCAGACTCCAGCTTTTAAATCAATTAATTAGCTGAAGAATGGCATGTGGTGTTTTGCAACTGATTATGCTTTCTGCAATGCAATAACTGAAGGAAAAAAAGGCTACACATAACCTCTTCCATCAGTGCCACTGACTTGCCCATTGATGTTAAATATACTCAGGTGAGGTTTTAAATGCACCTGTTACCTGAGTGTGGGAGTATTATCATTTACAAATGGACAAATGTACCTCAGTGCAGGGGGGATGTGCAATATTTGGCTCCGTTTCTAGATCTCAAATGAGTCCTGTAAATCACAAAGAATTTTTACTCTGGGATTTTGTTTTGAGCCTTCTATATGGAGACTGAGCCCCCATCTCAGAGCCAATGAAAAGGGAGGGTGCTGGTTTTGGCAAAGCTAGAGAGTCCTGTACTGTATGTCTATATAGCTGGGTTTATTGCCTTTCCTTGTTCTGTCATAGAACAGGAGTAATGTCCGTGGTGTCGGAATATGCACATGGTAATTGGCTTTCGCTGTAATTAAATGCCTTGGTGCCAGTGTTTAATCAGCCGCCAAAGCCGTTTATTGCCTCATATACGGCTGCACCATGAGCATTACCCCTTAATTAGTTGCTGAAATAGTGATGATTTAGCAGCGTCTTTATATTTATACTTTAAGACAGCAGATTCAGTCCAACACCAACAATATTCAAAGATAAAAAAGCAGACCATTCTGCTGTGCAATGATTTGGGCTTATTTGTTTCTCCTTACCTTGTGGAAAGCAGTGTCATGTGTATCTCCTGGTGGCCCCACACTGGAGGTGGCTTAGCACTTGGACAGCAGATGTTATGTCTCTGCTCCACTCCAGGGCTGACCTTGTGTATTTTAAGTGGATTCAGTATCAATAAAACATTGTCCCCAAAAACTCTCTGCAGCAAAAGGAGTGTAGGCTTCATGCCCTTTGACTCAGTTACTAGGACTGCCTGGATCTGGTCTGGCAGACCAGAGGCAGAGAGCTCCCAGTCTTCCTCATGCGAACACCTGGGAGAAGTGATCTCCTTTGTGTCACCAGAATGGCACTTTGTCTTGCATGACCCTGGCAGGTTGTGACAGGTGACACTGCCAGCCCCATCCAAACTCCTCTTCTCCTCTTTCCCTGCTTGTTTTCGCAGCAGTGGTGGTGCCGAGTTATGCAGCCATGCCCCATTTTGTGGGGAATACAGCAGTGAAAGGGCTCACTCAATGTCCATATATCTTCTCCAATTCCAGTTGTCTGTAGGGAAGAGGTCTGGTCTGATCTTTCAGAGCTCCTTGACAGTTAATGGCATGAGAGACATCTCCAGAAAACAGTTCACCCTGTCATGAAGGAGCTGTCAAAGGTGTTGGAGGAATGGCCCTTTGGAAGTGTCCATCTGTCACAGAGGGAGCCCTGCAGCTCACCTGCACTGGGCTCTTCTCTTCCAAACAATCATTCCAAACCCTGCCCAAAACTGCCTGCTAAGACCAGCGCTGGGGACAGATTCCTCAGCTTTCCAGGTTTCTTTCCAGCTTTGAAAACCCCTGAGGAAGCCCCGAAAACTTCTGAAAATCAACTAGAAAGCAAAAGTCATCCTTGCTCAGTAATAAAACTCCATTTGTGATGCAGTAGTAGTCATACAGCAAGTTAGCACAGGTATCATCAAGATAAACACCCCAGACCCACCTTTTTTCAAAGACAGGTGGTTAAATCTACAGTAGCCACAGCTGGAGACAGACACTGCACCAGTAAAATGCAGCTGTATGACTACTACTTCATTTGACCAGGGATGCCACCAATAGAGCAACCTCAGGGCTGACAGATAGTCTATACTACCTCCATCCCACCCTCAGCCCCAAGACGGCTCCCCTTGGCGTCTGGGTCTTAGATACACTTCACTCCCAAAGCTTTCATTGTCTTCAAAGGATTCTTGTAGTCTTTGATTGCAAGAAAAGCTGTGCCAAACTATCGAATTAATAGTTCCCCCACCCTTGGCCCTCACCTCTGGCCCTTGGCCATTTTGATTTGCATGTGGACAACATATCCCTGGACCTTTTCCATTGTAACAAGTTTAGCAAAAAGTACCTTGTGCTATAAAGGAAGTAATAATATCGAGTTTGGAAAACTATATAGCAGCTTGAATAGACTTGAAAGCCCACACCATCACACTCCCTTTACTGCCAAGACAAAGCCTGTCAGACTCCCGTGTCCTGTAGGAACAAGCTGCAGAGTTTGTCCTTTCCTGAGGGAGAACACAGGCCCATCCTGAAGTCCCCTGGGGAAAGGGAGGAGGAACTGGGAGTGAAACTGCTGCCTGTGCCTCCTTCCATGGCTAACAAAGCATCCCCTGACAATAAATAACCTACTAAAGAAGTCCTTCATGTTCCCTGGTGGTGGGAAAGTAAGGATGGGATTTAATTTGCAGCCAAGAATACTTAATTTAGACAGCAGAAAAGACCGTCCAAAGGTGAAGACAGCACCGCTGTGGAGTGGACTGCCAAGGGAGGTTGTAGGATCTCTATCTGCAGGTGTCTTCAAGGTCACACTAGATAAAACTTCCTTGGTAGTGACAAACAGGGAATGGGTTTAGCTGTACTGTGTGCCTTGTGATCTTTCTACAACTCTGAAAGACTGTTTGAAGGTAATCACTTTTGCTGGTAAGGGAGGACAGTACTCATTTCATTTAACCCTTAAAGACACAAACCAAACCTGTCTCAGATGCTCACCTAAAGAAAAGATGACAGACCTTCTCCACTGACTGGAGGGCCACCTTGGACAACAAAGCTGTCTTCCAGCCTGGTAGAGTTTGAGATGAATCCTACCTTGAACACAGTCTGTGCAGCAGGAGATTTCTCAGAGATAAGGGCTTTTATAAAACGGTCCAAGGATAGAAAGGGTATAAAAACAGAGGCTACAAGCAGAGTGCATATACTTAGCATGTATTTTTGGAAAGCTTACCGGGATACACTGGATTCTCCATCACTCGAAGCATTTCAGTCAGGGAAAACGTTTGGTGATGGTTTGGTGCTGTGTCAGGTTCTCTGACTGCAGAGGTGAAGGTCAGGCTGTGTGCTGATCAGTGACATTTTTGAAGCAGATTGGACTAGACCGGGAACAATCCTGATTATTTACCACAATGACAGCTTAGGAACAACTTTCTGGAAGAGACAGGCTTTGCTAACCAGACTTCTTTCTACTCTCCCCAAAACAGTTTGAACAATGTTCCCCCATTCAGCTGCAAAGCAAGGTGCTTGGCTCTGCTGTCAGCGAATCACTACTCAAATTTAGGAACACTTGGGGGCAACTTCCCATATAATCAGATTACTGCATGATTTAGGAATGGAGTGTTCTTTACTGCAAAGGCACTGTTCTTAGGAACAGTGCAAAATTCATGAAAAGACGGCCAGTACAGTGGGGGGTGGCCTCTTTTGGGATGCATTTCTGGCATCCTTACTTCACCCAACAGTGAAACAGGCTCCTGAATTGAAAATGTTGAGGAGCCACACAATGAAATTTTGAACCTAAAAGAGAGAAAGGGAGAGAGAGAGAGGTGGAAGATATGAAGTATAATTGCAGGTGGAGGTTGGGAGAAAGTAAATACCATTCGACTTGAAAAAATAATTTCACATGCTAGCAAACAAAAATGAAATTTATAAGGAGTTTATTGGATTGGTAAAATGTAATAAAAAAGCATTTGTGATACTTCTTCTGCAAAGAAAAAAGGCATCTGGCGATTTTGCATATTTATTTTCCCTTACAAAACATTTGAAAAGCATAACTGATAAAAAGGATAACAACTGAAAGAGCAGAGCAAGAGGAAAATACATCTCAATATAATTGGATAATGCATAATAAAAATACAGAAAACACATGCTTAAAACAGCTTTCATTCTCTTACTGTAAAAAGTCATTTTAAGTGTTGAATAAAAAATATATGCCGGTTGCTCTGAAAATTGCAGTTTAGAAGAGGTAACTAGCCGAGAACAAAATATATATATCTATATGTATTTATAAATATAGAAAATGTGTATATGCTGCATCTGTCCTCAGAACAAATTGGAATAAATGATTTTTAATTCATGCACACAAGTTACCAGAGAAAAAACTTCATTTATTGCCTAACAGATCAATCCTGTAAGGTGCTGATTGCATTTCCTGAGTGCCCTCAAAGCCCTGCGGAAGAAGCCAGTGAGGGAGACAAGTGGCCTGATGGGTTCAATGACAAGGGAGACTACTCAGCAGCTCACAGGAGGTACACTCAGCAACTCACAGGATTCAGGAAAATTCCAATGGCAGCAGGATTAGGCCCCTCACAGACTTGGGTAGTGCTTTTGCTCAGCAAGGAGTAAAGCTCTGGTACCCCCAAGCTCTGACAGACAGGAGACCAGTCCCAAAAGCTCAAGTAATGTTACTTCATTAGGATCTGAGGGCATAGAGTGTGCAGCAGCAGGCATTCCTCATAGAGGGAATGCTTCCTTGTGCCCCCTCCTTGCCCAGATACCTAGGCTAGTGATTCACATTTAAAAGGAAGATGCTTCCCATACCACTGAGAGCCTCCGCCTGCTGATGCAGGACAAGGAGAAGCGTGGCCAGTCACGCTCCCCTCTCAACTGCAACGAAGGCAACAATATAAAACCTTCTCCATCTCAAGGGCTAAACCAACAACTACCATAAAGCTGAAACACCATTCAAACCTGGCCTAGTCACCCACTGTGAATTACTGCACATCCAGTAAAGATCATTGCTGGTGAACCCTCGAGCAGACAGGTCTGCAGCTGGCAGGGATAGGCCAAAGCATAGCAGCTATGTAGGACAAATACGTTCCTGGGGGCACTTCCTCCTTGCAGTCTGAAAGAGCTAAGTCAATCTCCCAGCCTTTGAGGGTGTCTCCATGGGGCATTTAGCCAAGAAAAATCCCTCTAGAATTACCCATGTGTCGTTCAGACCCCCTTGCATCAGCCCAGAGGTAAAGCCAGTGTGAGAGATTGGGCTCTGACACATGAAGAACCTCTGCTGTTCATTCGGGTTGAAAAGTGGAATTACTAAAACTACAGAATTAGTATTCCAGGTCTCTCATTTGACTCACTGGAGGGAATGCACTGGAAGATGCCCTCCAGTCCCTCTGTTGGTCCAAAACACAAGCTGTAGCATGGGAAAGTGCAGGACCCTTAAGGAAGTTGAAGTCTCACCAAAGGAGATCCTTTCTAGCAAGACCACGAGACAAAGTCCAAGCATTACTTTGCTCTGCCCATACCTCTACCAATACTCAGTTCTCACTCTCCACGGGGACAGCAGAGGAGGTCACAGGGGTGCAGTACAGAGCATCAAAACATCATATCTTTCCCTTTTCTATGTTTTCAATACAGCTTGCATTTCCTCTCTGATCACAACAGGGAAGAGTTTGCTAAAACATGATTTTGAGGATTGAAAGTGAGAGCACATCAGCCTTTTTAATACAGTAGCACCAATCAAACACCCTTTGGTTCACCTTGAAATTTTCTCTTTTAGTATTATTTAAAAAATGAATGATGGAGAGCTTATAAGAGACCATATTAAGTGAATAAATTCTGCAGATATGAACTACTGGAGTTCTGATAAGACAGAGACATTTGAGGATTTATACCTAAGTATCTCTGCTACAGAACAGTTGCCTACCAGACAACAGGGTGTGTTAAGCAAGATGACAAGTCATGCTGATGGGATAGACCTAGAACAGATGCTCAGCATTAACCTCTTGTTTCTCTTCTCCATCATCCTCCTAGTTTCCATGCCTGCTCACCACTAGGGCTGTTTCTCTGCTGCCCATGAAGGAGCACAGCAGGTCTCAGAAAAGATACACACTGAAGCAATTGAAATACACTTTTTGTAAAGGGAGCTCTGTCAGTGGCCTACTCATCACCTTGCTGCTTGTTCTGCTGAGATGCTTAGCTACTTAGGCATTAGGCACGTTAGAAATACTACTTTTTAGGTGGAGAAAGCAAAGAGCTAGATCAGACTCTGGAGACAAGGCATGAAATGTCCATTTGCCAAACTGAAATGGCTTTCCAGCCCACACAGAGCTGCCAGTAAAGCACTGGCAGATGCAAAAAAAAAAGTGCCCCAATTCTGTATTTTCAATGGGCACTATCTCAACACAGTTGAAACGCAAACTACAACCTCCGGCTGTGCATTTCAGTGCAAACTGCTCTTATCTCATACAGCCTTGAATGAAACATTAACACAAAGGCAGTCTAATTGGAACAGGATCTTCTCCTCCTCTGCAAATCCTCATAATTGCACACAGTCCCATAGTTAATGGCAGAGAGAAAACAGCTGATTCTGGCAAAATACTTGCACTAGGAAGGCAGGATCAAGGCCTAGGCTGGATGCAGACTCATCATGGGGAGCAGTGCTGGCCATGGAGAGGAGGAGGTGGACCTTGCTCTGTTAGCAGGCTTTCCTCACTCCCACACTGCAGCAGGGTGGAAAGCTGGAGCTGGGGCAAATGTTGTAGAAGAGATGCTGGGCTCTGGCTCTAGTTTAGGGAACACTTCAGAGTGTGTCCTTTTTCTCCTTGGCCAGCACCAAGGAAGAATATAAAAGCAACACAAAACTACACTGAATGGTTATCTCCCTTTCATTTTGAAATCTAAGCACTTCCCCCACTGAAGGCATTCCTCCCACAAAGGATTCCAATTCTGAAAACTCCTCTGTATCAGAGCTGGAAAATATTCTGATCACATTTTCTGGTTCTAAATTCTAGGTAGGCTTTCCTAGACAGAGCTCCTAACTTTTCATTCAGTGCCAAAACCAAAGTGGCTCCATACTCCATGGGGACCAAGGCAAGACTAAGACTCAACAAATGACAAATAAAAATAATGATACGATTGAAAAGCACATGGTCCTGGTTACCAAAAATGCTGAATAAGCAAAGTTTCTATGGAACAGAATTAGCAGGAGATGTAGGAACAGCCATTAAAAAAGTATCAGAGCAATTCTGCCCTTTATGTTTTGCCACATTTATTATTTTCACCTCTCTCTTCTCACAGATGAAATGGGGCAGGCCAGTTCTTTTTCCTATTCAAGTCGGCTTTGCTCTCTGGGCTGTCACGCTGCTGGCACAGACCTGCAGAGACAGGACTTCCCGCACTCTAGGGGAATGCTGAACTGGAGCTATTTTTTAAACATCAAACCATTCCTGTTCACCATACACTCTGCTTCCAAAAATAAAACAAGCATCCAAGTCTTTAAACAATCAGAAGGACCCTTCAAAGTCTCATAACAATATTTTAAACCTGGGGCAGGAGGGATGGGAATGGGAATACATTTTCCTACTAATGCAAAACAATGAAACTGATGTTGCTGGATATGAAATGCTGGGTAATAACAAATCAGAGGTCTGTTGCTGAACCTGTTCTGTCAGCCAGCCCTTGTGAGAAAAAGACAGCAAGAAAGCATTTCTCCTTTGCACTGATGAACTTAAAATGAAAACAGGGGCAATACATGGGAAGGAAGAGGGTAGATAGGTATATGGCATGAAAATTACTTGCCTGAAGCAACCACAGAAGTAGGCAGAAAAATGGTAAATATAATCTGTCTCCTTATTCCCTTAGCCCTGATTCCTAAAACTAGTTTGGGAATGAACTGGGGGAAGGGGAGGAAGGAGCAGCAATTTGAACACAGCAGATGCTCCAGTTAAACCATATCTTCCCAAAGAGGAACCAAGGGTGGGGGCAGGGGAGATGGCTATTATTAATGTCCTTCCGTATATAGCAAAGCAGACATCCTGCATAATGGCAACACAATACATCAATAATAGCCCAAGAATAGCTTCCTACCGGTTTTTTCCCCCTGACAGTTAGAAACATAAAGAGAAAAATCAAGCTGCTGAGATAAATAGCTGAGTCTCCACCCCCACCTCAAATTGCCTTGGCATATTTTAAGAGATAAATGGTTCTATGAGAAATTTAAATAGCTTTCTCTTTTCTTTTTTGGCAGCTGCAGGAACTGGGTCAGGTGTAGAAATTATTAATTTTGAAGCCTGAAAAACCCATGTTTGAAACTAAGTTTTTTTTTTTCCTTTAAAGCATCAACTTTCTTAGAAGCAGAGTTACAAAAAATTAAAAAATAATTGAGGAGTTTTTTTATACAGAAGTCAGGTTAAAAATAATGAAATAACAGTGCAAGCTGCAGAAAAGGGACAATTTGTGTAACACTTTAATGGACACTAAAAGTATCTATAGTGGATTGTTAATGGTGGGGTTTTTTTGCATATTTGCCCAATGGCTTTCATTCCTCTTAATCAAACCTAGCACTGGGAGTCTGCCTTGAAGAAAAAGACGGGGGAGCACCATTCTGTAGCTTTACCCTAACTTTAGTGCATGTTTCCAAAGAGACCAGAGATTACTGCCAAAGTGACCAGCACCAAACACTTCCACTTCCATGAGGAGACCATTTACTACTTAGTTCCAAAGCTCAGGACTGACACTCCAGCAAGCTCATCTGCTTGAGACTGTGCTCACTGATGGTCAGAGCTGGTGAACTGTGGTACTGAACCACATGCAAATCACTGCCTTCCCCCCTTCCACTCAAGTTACTCTTGCTTTACACTGATACCAGGGTTTCTAACCCAGTTTTTCTGCATGATGCCAAAAACCATCTCCCTCCTCATGCCATATGGGGAAGGATCTCTGCAATGATAAAACCTTGAATCTTATAAGAGAAAAAAAGTCAAATCCTGTAGAAACTGCTTTAAGCAAAGAAATGCTGTTAAACTCCCTCACAGGAGAGTCCACTAGTTAAGACCTGTAAAAGGTTCAAATTTCCAGTCCTACAAAGACTCTGAGATCTTGAAAGTTACCCAGCTGGCACACAGCCTGCCTCCACTGCTGCACGGCTGGCAAAACCCCCCTGCTCCTCATGCTCTGTTCCATGTCCCACATCAGACGGACACCTGAGAAGCAGGAGGATTCCCTCGTTTATACTCACTGCACCTCCGCAGGGCTCACAGCGCGTGCTCTCCTTCCCTTAGTGACCAATCAAAAATTTAAAAGGTGACAAAGACCCAGATGTAAATAGAACTGCGGTGCCTAGAAAGTCAGAGCACAGATAGGATCAGAAGACAGACTGTAATTACAGGCCCTGCTACTTATTACATAGGCCAGTTGGGCTACATGAGCCTTTGGTGGAAACTTCCTGTGCAATTAATAAAGGAGAAACAGAATACTTTTGCAATCACTTCTCTAGCTTTCACTGTGGGGGTCCAATCCTGCCATCCTGGATTAGCTCTAATCATAGACAATCTTTCTCTGCATAAACTGAAGGCATCTGTTCTGTAAGATTAAAAAGAAAAAAAAAAAAAGAAAAAAGGACAAAACCCTCATTGCAAACCTACACCATGCAATCAAGAAGGAAAGGAAACCGATCCTTCCTGATCCCCCCCAGATCGTAATCTGACAATGTTTTCAAGGCATCTGGCAAAAAGGAAGAAGAAAGAAGAAAGCTATGAAATATTTAAAATCCTACTTCTGTCAAGAGTATGTGAGAGGGGAAAGGTGAGTTTGAAAGGGTTGCATTATTTGTAAGCTAAAACCTGAAAGCACCATCTTTTGCATAGAGGCATGAGATGCCCTTGGCCTGAGCCAGAGCGGTCCTGAGAACAAGTACCAGGCGCTGATTCAACAGGGACTGGTATGACAAAGTCAAGGCTGTGTGTGAGCGGGACCAAAGCAAGTGTCCTGCAACACCATGGGATGTCCCATGGGACATCAAGGGTAAGGCAATGCCTTAGTGATACCATAAAGTAGCTGTGTCTTTGCAGCCCACAACTGATCCTCCTCATCTAAAGCCTGAATCAGATTTTCAAGAGCATGGGAAGTGGAGCATACTCAAGAGAGGATTTCTCCTAAAGGCATTATTTTTACTGCTGAGACTCTCACTAAACAGACGTGCAAGGAAGGGGAAACTGCCCTGTGAGATCTGAGTTGCATTAAATGACACTTTGCTTTGCTCCTGCACCCAGGATCTTGCCCTTTCCATTCTCAAATCCCAAGTGCTGTGGAGGACCTTTGCAGAAAGGTCTCAGCCAGGCCTGATCAATGGACTGATCCCAATCTGCACCATGAGAAGCAGGCACAGAAACAGGCTGGAGGTGCCCAGGTGTAATAAGGAGGGGAGGCACCAAGCAGATCGTTGGGAGTTTTGATGCTCAACTGAGGCTTTTCTTAGTCACATCCACCTGCCTGCTGTACAGTTCCAGAAGAAACCATAACAGACTTCAGTACAGGCACTGGGCACACAAATGGGACCAAAATGGTCCTGAAACACTGAAACAAAAGGCACTTTGGAACACAACTGGCACAGCCACAATCCCCACAACGCTTGTGTAAGATAGAAAGAATCCCTAGAACGTATTTATCAAAAGCCATTTTATGCAGATTTTTCCTTCTGAATATTTAAAACATGGTGAATATTAAACTTCAGAGATTCTTAATACGTTCCAAAGCCCTACGGACCTTTGAAATGCTAGCTCATCAATATGCAACATCTAATCTTGTCAGGAAAAAAAAAAAAGAGGAAAAAAAAAAGCTATTCATCCTCTGCACACAGAGGTTACAGAGAGAATCCCAAGGAAAAAAAAAACCTTCCAGCATCTTATGCAATAGGTTAAATTTACTCTGGTCGGGAAAGTTTCACTTTCTTCAAGAGAGAAAGTGCCTGTACGTGCATAGCTACTGGAAGCTTCTTCTGAAGTGTGAGGCTGAAACTGTGTAGCTGGATTACAGTAAGTAGTTTATTAAAAAAACAAGGCTTGTGGCTTTGCATCCTGTTCCAGTCCACTGTAGTTTCAGGATCCCCTCTCCAAAGGCCAGCAGACAGTGCGCCACCTAAAAATCCATTCTAGTCCAAAATGCTGTGGTTGAAATGGCTTTGCTTGTTTATAAAGTTTAGTGTTTCGTATCGCTTGCATCTGGCCTTCAGCAGAAAGAAAAGCTCAGTTAAATTGTGCAAATATGTACCAAATGGGAGCAAGGGAAAGCAGCCAAAAATGCTGCATGAGCTTTTGCAGGGCTGCAGCCTTTTAGGAGCACCAGTTAGATGAACTGGATGAGAGGCCAAATTGATTTAGGCTCCAGGCAGGAGCTTAAAACACCACGACATCCAAATTCACAAAGAAAATGTTCTGTTACTGCAACCCCAAATTTCCTGCACATGAAAACAATGTTTTCTTTCATCTTTAGGAGATGCTCGTTCTGTAATCCGACATTTAAAAATGAACAAACAAACAGGAGTCAGCTGACAAAGGATTCTTGCTGGTGAATGGAAGTAGGTCACTCTGCGTATTTAGCCTTTACAGTCTGGCTTAATATTAGTGTTGTACACAGAGCAGTAACAAAACTGCACTGGAGACAGGGAAAGACTCTATTTTTGTCTTTTCTATGAAAATTAGCATTAACATTCTGCATTAATGTACAATACCTCCCCAGCATTTGATATCTGGTTAATTAAAAGAAAAACCACAACCACAAAGGAAACCACACACTAAATTAAACAACAACAAAAAACCCTTACTGGTCAGCCTGAATTTGAAGACATCTCAGTATGAGTAATTGGGCAGAGAGGAATTTTCCTGAAGGAACATAAAAGAAAACGAAAGCTCTACATACAAGACCAAATAAAATCTTCTGTCTCTCACAAATGCAAATTCAGGCTGCCCTTTTACACAAACATATTAAGGGAATAAAACTGGAGGAAAAAATAAAAGAGGAAAAGCTAATAAATTCATTTATGTACCAAAAAAAATATTAAAAAACAAACTATCCTTCAAACATATTTCTTCATGATAAATCCCTGCAATCATGTGGTTCTAAATTACATGGTTAAATATGACTGAAAAAGTAAGGCACAATTTCATAATAATTTTAAAAGCAATAATTATAACAATTTTCTTTGATATCCATATGGCAGGCCATTGATACTAAGGACACACAAAACTACTTTAATAAAGATCTGAAGAAGTTTTTCCAGCTACCAACTAAGACTCACAATACCTCAGTGAAGTAAGTAACAAACCATCTTCACTGCAAAGATGAGTGCACGTTGAGGAAATGGAAAAAGAGGGTAAGAGAGTGGCTTGTGGACGAAGGGAGGCAGAGGTAGGAAAGAAGAGACACCCCAAGTGTGATGTTCCTGGGGAGGGGCTCAAACCCCCAGTAATGTAATGCTAATTACAAAACCTGGGGCTTCCATTTCTTTCCTCAGTCTCTAAAATATCCTGGTAGGTTGAAAAAAGCGGACAAACAAAATTAAAAAAAAAAAAAAAGTTTGAACTGAATGCTCTTGCTACCCACGATCAACCCTGTTGCTTCCACACGTACCAAGCCAAAGAGACCAGGGACAAGTAGTCAGGAGTAAAGCCCAGTGAGGTATAAGTAGCAATACTCAATATTGCAGCCGGTATCTCTACTCAGTTACAGTCCCACAACCACCTTATGTGTGTGTGCACATGCCAGAGAGTGTGGAGCTTAGTTTTTTCAGATCTCAGCAGAAAATTTTCAGGCTGAAGTAAAAGCTGTTCCCCAATGTCCACCAGGAAACCTACCAAGGTTATACTTTTTATCTTAGATTTTTAGATGCTGGATAAATGTTATAATTTCACAGATATAAAATCTGTTTTCTTTCAGGCTCCAAATGCCAGTCAGGCAATTGACTGTTGCACAGTCAAACTTGAAATGCTGAGGAAGCCAGGTAATATTTCTAGAAATGTCTAAGGAGAAATGCCATTCCCAAGCCCAAAAAGGTATGTGGAGGCAATGTTCAATCAGTATCTCTCGATCTTCATGGCAGTTGCCATAATGTGCTTAAATTCTTCAGTAATTTTAGGGGGAAAAAAAAAACAACAAACAAAAAACCCCAAGATAAAAACAAAGAAGAAAACTGCAATTGCCACAGAAAAAGACACTGGAAGTCCCCATAGCCAGCCACTCCACAGCTGTAAGATGGGAAATAAAAATGAACCCAACAGAAATAACACTGTTATTTTAAGAAGAGTCACATTATTTGGATTGTTCTAACAAAGGAAACAGTGACTTCAAAATTAGCAAAACTAGTTAAAAATAGGGAAAAAATATCTTGTGAGAAGTTTCAAAGCTTTTTTTTTTATTTCACCAGGTCCAATATTGAATCATTTCCCAAGAACCCCTGCTTGTTTTTAAGTAGAATTTTTATCCAAAGAAGTTTTCAGAATTGTCACAGAAACTTTAAATTACCAGCAGAAGAAACCCAAGAACTACCCAAAAAAAAACGTGAAAGAAGACATGGGGATTTTAGAAACTAAAATATTTTTTAACAATTCTGAAATTTATTTAGATAAAAATTCAGTATGATTTTAATCATGGGGTGGGGGAACCAACCAAAAAAAGTTGTGGGTAACATTGCAAAAAGAGAGAATTTCTCATTAAAAACAGCCCTTCTGATATCATGTAATTTAGTGTAAAAACTGCAACCAGCTCCAACTGGAAATAGTGTTCTCACAGTTCTCTTAGTTTGTACTTTATTAACCTTTAGGTTACTGAGTAGTTCCTGACCTCCCTCCACAACCAACACTCAGGTACCATCACTAGTGTTTTCTCATGGGAATTTCACCACAGTGAGATTCTTCAACACCCCTCCCCCTGATAGCTCTGACTTGCAGTACTGAAATCTGTATGAGGTGTTGTCTACCCAGCTTAGTGAACAAATTGCAAATCAACACAATGAACCAACTGCAGGAACCAGATATCAATAGAAACCAGTTACAAACTCAAACCCTTTCTGAGACATTCAGCTGAAGCACCAGATGTCTAACATTTATATCCGATGCTGACAGAGGGCAAAGACAGAATTTCCCCCAAGAACCTTCTCCTGGGTCCTGTTATCCCTTGCCTGCCAGACTTTCTCAAAATCAAAAGAAACCAGCATTTATCAAACCTAAGTCATGCTTGACTAACCACGGCCAGTCAGCAGCCATAACAGGTCCAAGGAGATTTCAGAGTGACTTGTTGCATATTCTCTTTAACAACCACCATTTCTTTTAAGACACTTCTTTTTCTCTTTCTTCTCAGGCACATTTTACTGATAAGCAGAAAGTCAACTTAAGGCCCGTGTCTTGGGAAAGCCTCACTCCTGCCATCAGGAAGAATGCTGTTATGTAGAGTTCACTGTGATAAACACTTTGGTACTCCCACACCTCTGTGATTCAGTCATTTACCCGAGTGTTTTGTAGCCATGATAAAAATTAAAATATTTAAAATGAACCAAAAAACAACCCCCCAAATTAAAGGTGCATTATCACATACGCTAAAGAAATGGTGTTGCTTCTGTTTTTAAAAGCAATGTTCAGTGATTAAAATGACAATAAAACAATCTTCCAATTCTTTCTGAAAGGAACAGTCTGGACATTACTGCAGCCACAGAAGATGTGAATTTTTGTCATGATTAAGTCCACCTTAAGAAAAGCAAGAGTTCTTTGGAAAAAGACTCCTTCTTTGGAACAGATAAACAGGATATATTAAAAGTATGTGATAAATATGGTGATGAAGCAATATCCCAGTGGTTCTTAATTGCAGTGCAATTGAGATATGTCCACCAGAATTTCCTAATTAAATCCTGAAGCATCAGAGGGGAGATTTCCATACACATGTGGGTGATGAGAGCCTCTATGATGTACATACAATATTTTTCATATAGATTTATAGCAATTTAAAAAGGCAAAACCACAGAAAATAAAAAAGAGTGTTTTAGACACTCACTCCTTCCAACAGGTAGATGTCTTTGGTATTTTGGGGTGAAAAAAAACCCCATTATTGTACCTTTTCACAGATATGTCAGCTCTAGAAACTAGCCACAGTACCTCAAATATCAACACTGCTCAATCTTTGTCAATCATATTTCATCCATGGAGTATTTAATGCTTGAAAATTTTGACTCTTACCTCCCTGCATGCCAGCCCAACTCACAACAGCACCCTAATAACAGAGATCTAGATCTCCTGGCTGGCCCTGTGCTTTGAAATGGGCTGGAAGCCCAAACCTACATACCAGTAAGCTTTTCTGGAAACAGAAAATAGAACTCCAAAAATAAGCAGTTTGGACCAATCTGTGACTAGTTTAATTTCCATAATATGTCTGGGAAATTGGAAAGAAGCTCTCTCATGCAGAGGGTGGAAGACAAGAAGCCATATGACTTGCTCCAATCCAGCCTATGGCAGGGCCATAAAAAGCCCAAAGGCTCTGGACTTGAGTCCTCCTTGGTCTAAGCCACATTCTCCTGGAAGGTACAACAGCTTCTTTCCATCAGTTACCCCTGCATTATTCAGAAGAGTCTCATCAGCCACTTGATTTAACACTAGGAAGAGTAAGGAAGATCAGAGCTACGTTTGCTGCCTGCTGAATGGCTTATTCTGTATCTGAGTGTATCACATTCTGACTTGTGTTTGTAGAGATGCAAAATGCTCCACAAGGATACAACAGTGTTATCAGTCCTAGCACTGACCTCCTGTGTTTTTGTAGGGTTAGTTCAAACTAAATTTGCTCAACATTTGCAAGCTTTTTTTGATGGCTGGTGGTGCAGACTGTGTGTAAAGAAGCGAGCTCAGAAGGACCTTACATGCCACGGTTCAGGGAGCAGGAGCCCAGGTGGAACCTGGCAGGAGCCAGGGTGCCAAAAAAATCTGTTTACGTCTGAGGCAGTAAAATTTTTGAATGCCAGCGTAGAAACCCAGTATAAAAAGGCAAACTGCTTCAGCACAGCCCCTGTGCTGGTGAAGGACTTCTTTTGCTCAACGATGCCACCCTTCTACAAAGAAGGATTCATTTTAAGCTGTGAATTTTGGGAAACTTCCCTGACACTGGTGAAGTTTGCCAATGTATAAACCATGTAAGGAACAGAGGTTTCAGACTGGTATTTCAGTATTTGAATTTACTGTATGTAGCTAAAGCTATTGAATTTCAGTGGCCTTCCATAAACTGAAAGGAAAGGCACCATTTGCAGGAGCTGCAGTATCACATCACAATTTTTCCTCTTTGTTTCCTATCGTTTCAGCTCATGTAACTTTTCAGCATTAGTGGATATAATCATGCTCTATAATAGAAGTCTCATATAAAGATGAAAGCACCACATACATTTCTTACTGTTTTTCAGTGGGAGTATGAAAAAAATTCTTATAACTTACTCTTAAAAAGTGCCAGTTTGTCACTTATATGGTCAATCAGCCTGAAACTGTTTCAGTTCTACTTCTTAATTTAAGTGCAAAGAAAGGTATTTTCTTTGATTACATCTGCAAATAAGATATTAATGTCAATTCAGTGATATGAAAATTACTCCCTCGCTATGTAATTTGCACCTTAGTTATTATGGGTTTCATGAACAAGAATATTATAGCTGCTCAGTGTGCTGTGGATTTATAATTTTTTGATTTGTTTTTAATTAACCAAACCAAAAAAAACCCCACCACCATCACATGAAAAAAAAAGATTATCTGTGCCCAGTTTTTATTTACCTTGGCATATGTATTAATTCTGGACCAAAACCAAAAATATTGCTGCTGGCCCAGCACTCTACTGCCATGAATTTCACCAGAGACAAGTTATAAGAGGCTGGGACAAAAACAGAAGAGAAAAAAAAGATGCTTACTTTCTAGAACGGCATAGTGAAGGGTTTAATACCTTTAGCTTTCTTAAGACAAAAACTGAACAACAGCAATATGTATTTAGGAGGGTCTTTTTTGCTGCTGTTGAAACAAGATCCTTGATTTTTTTTTTAATGAGAACTCCAGATCATGTGTGTTAACATCAGAGAAATGAATATCACCCCGAGGCTTGAATCCCTGTTACAGTTGAAGGAAAATCCTCCCATTGGAATAACAGGAGGTGGAACAAGATTCTATTGCTTAAATGTCTACCAGAGATCAACACTGCCAGTGGTCCCACTAGAAGGGGGTGTATGAGAGAGTGGCGTAACATTTTTTTGAGCATCGCTTTGCACTGCAGTTCTATGTAGTAATTTTGGGGTTATTTTAACCACTGGGATTTTAGAAATGTGTTTCCAGCATCACATCCTTTAAAGAGCTTCTCATGACTGGCTTGTGCCTCTGGTAAATCAAAAGCATGTTGTGTGTGTGTGTAGTGTACAGTGTGTGCAAGCTCACACCTTTCTGTGATTGCTCATACATTGTGAATTGGAAGCATCAGTACTGAAGAAGTTTATGCAATAGCAAAGTAAAATTTCATGAGTAAAAGAAAAAACCCCTAGTGAACTGGAAGGGAATGGAGACAAGTATGGGCATAAGAAATAACAAATCTCTGTCCCAAGGATACAAGGTCACACCTACAGTCAGGTGCAGTACAGTTGCAGTTAGACTGTTTGTGTTAATGCTGGATCTGCTCTCACACCTTCTAGGGCAGTGGAGCTACTTCTGCTGGTGAAACAGATCCTACTGAAGTCAAAGGGAACCTCCCCATGACCTCAGTGAGAGCTGGCCAGGTTCTCAAAATAACTTGGGAGAAATAACTAGCTCAGCCGTCTTTAACCTTCTACCTTCATGTACTTCTTAAGAAACAGGAATCAAACACAAACATAGGTAGGACCATGTTCAGACCTCCTTCTACAGGCAGGTAACTTAGCTGCTGTGACCACTTAACTCCATCAGCTGCAGATACAGCAGCTGCTCTGACTCACTGCCCTACTGAACATTTGTGTCTAAATTAGATGCTTGTCACAGGCAGTCTGAACATGGTCTCTCAAGTTGCCCTCTTGTTCCAAGGCCTTCCAGTTTTACTTTTTTTTTTTTTTTTTTTTTTAAAATAGAGATTCAGACCCTAGCCTGGAAAGAAATTATGCAAAGCTTGTGCAATATCCCCCGATGGGCATCCTGGGGAGGGTCACAGTTGATACTCAGAGATCAGTGCTGGCCTTGGCAGTCAGAGCCTGGATCCGAGCAGAGTTGCAGGTCTTGCAAAGGATGTGCCCATCCAGAGGGTAACAGCCCTGATTGTCCCCTTCAGACAGGAGGCCACCACAGTCCTAGAAAATAAGCAAACAGAAAGAGGAAAGTAAATAAGAAGAGGCAAGATTAAGCAAAGAATCTATTAGTGAAAGAAACTCTCTCCTCACACTCCACCTTGTAACAGGATCCAGCCTGAGTCAGCATAAAGCATGAAGCTGAGGTACATGATGTCTTTCACGATTAAGCTGTTTTCTGATAAGGGACAATGTTGCAGAGAAGATGGGTTCCCAAGCTCTCTGCTGAATTTAATCCAATTGAAAGTAAAAAGAGATTACTGCCTTCACATTTTTGAGGAAGTAAAGGTCTTTTAGCATTGGAGAAACATCAAACTGAAGCACATTTTTATTAATTCAAAAAAGGATAAAAAAGAAGCATCACTGGAAAGAAAGTATGGTACCAATATCTGACTATAGGTAATCTTCTTTGGAAGAGTTAATGCCAAAAAGTTACAGACCCCTTTCCAGGGGTGACAACTAAGCAAACTCCCTGCCCTCCTTACCAGAACTGTCACCTGTGTTTGTACAATTGGCCAAAAAGGTTGTGTCTTAAAGGAGGATGTCAGGTAGGCACACGGAAACCTCATTTAAAGGCCACCATGCTCCAGAGACCTCAGCCTCTAAGTTTGTAAGGCTGCTAGGAAAGTTGGGAGTTATCCCTCACTGTGTGATCAAACAAGTGCTTGGTCCAAGACTGGTGATGGAGTTGCAGTGAGGGATTAGGGCTCACTTAGAGGCCGTTGCCTCTTCATCATAAATCAGTGTTTGTAAACATACCTGGCAGCAAGTGGTAGAAGGAGGAGTATCATTGTTGTTCCTTTTGAGATAGCTGAGGTACATGGAGGTCAAGGCCAAGTGAGTGTTTGTGTCCTGTGTTCTTTACTGCATCTACTTCTGACATCTGTGTGTGTGAAAGCCTAGGTATCTCAGCAGCCAGAACAGAGGCATGCTGTATGATCACAGAATCATAGAATTATAGAATCAGCTGGGTTGAAAGGACCTCTGAGATTATCAAGTCCAACTCTTGGTCCACTACTGCCATGGTTATTAGACCATGGCCCTGAGTGCCACATCCAAGTTTAGGCTGTACAAAATTTAGTGCAGGAATGCCCCAGCATCTTAAAATATATGTACCCTGAAAGCCAGTGCCAGATTGAGAAGTAAACCAGGTGCTTCAAGTTTCAGCCTAGACCTTTAAACCTTAATCCATCCTTCTTTCTGGTTGAAGTTATTAAAACCTGCAACAGTGATAAGAAATACATTTGGTCTCATTTTCTGACCCTGCCATCTGGATGATGTATTACTCAACAAGTAACACTTCCACTGAAGAATTCTTGAAGGTTCCCTAACACAGCTGCTCCCACATGTTAATAGCTTTAAGCTGATTTTTATTCTCTGTCTTCAGATTCTTACCATCAAAATTACATGAAGTGCATAATGAAAGTGAACAAGGAAAGTAGCACAAAAAGCATTGCACAAAACAAGAACAATCATGTTTATGTGTCCATTAAAATTCTTCAACCCAGAGCCATATGCTGAGTTTCCTGTACAATCTTGCTCAAATTCTAACACGCATTAGCTTTCAAGAACATAAACACGAGCTACATTTGTATCCAAGCTATAATTTATGAAGTTCTCAAATATTAAGCCCTAATTACCTGAGTCACATTCTCTTGCTCTCCTAATGAACCTGTTATAAACAAGGAGCCTGATTTTCTCCTCATTTGCGCTGATATATATGAGGAAAAATTCCTTGCATGCTGAAGTCAATGAAATAATTTGATTGTAGAGCCAGTGTTACATTAGGTTATACCTGTCATGTGTATAACATGAGGCAGTGATGAAGTTGAGCCAGTCTTTGCTTTCTGTCCTTCACAGATTTCCTTGACACAGTGACAGGAATACTAACCTCACATCGGTAGCACTGGACATGGAAGTCACGATCCAAGGCAACAATGCGAACAGTCTCCTCTTGCCCTGGGGCCGGCATGATGGGCTCCTTACACACAGAACATCTCGGGGCAAATTTCCTGAGGAAGGAAGAGACAGTCCCAGTCATCCTCAAACTTGGAGTGAAAGTTTTTGTTAACATGAAACCAGAAACGTGTGCATTTGTACAAATACACACATGTATGTGCAGATATGTCACAGCTGAAGCTTTGCACAGCTGCCTTCTTGGAAAGAAGACAGAAAGGAGCACTTTAGTCTTAAAATGTGTTTTCAGGCTTGTAGGATATTAAAGAGCATTTTGCAGACTTTTAGGAGAGGACTTAAAGAACATCTGACGGGCAGCAAAGCATATTGTGCCTGTCCTAATTAACAACTAAGGTGAATGTCCCATGATTGTGGCACCTGTGCACTGCCACAACCCTTTATCATCTCTCTAAGAAAGTCCATGCAAATCCCAAGGTTAGAAAGATGACAATTTGCTTCAGGAGTATCTCTTGAAAACAAAACCCAAAATATTAAAATTTGGAGATTGGAACAAATAGGTTAAAAGTCTTAATACAGATGGTAAAAAGAATGCACTATACTCATGTGTTGAGGTTTACCTCATCCACTTTAAAATTCTGAGCCATCTTGTGACTTGCTGCATTTTCTAGCTAAAACCAGCTCTCAGTTATCCAATAGTGGGTTTCCAAACTTAAAAGGGAACAAGTCTGGGTGCAGAGACACCAATGTTCTCTCTTACAGTCAGCCTAAGTCAGAATTGTATAGTATAGTGACAATAACTCACTGCATGAAGGGACTTACTTGAATCAGGGTCAACTCAGGGATCAAGAGAAGCACAGGCCTTTCTTTTTCCCCTTATACTGCCCACCATATGCCCATCTGGCTAATTCACCTGTGTTCTGCATTAATTCTGGTTTTGCCCCCTCCCAGTTCCCTTGAGAAGCATCGATCTCTAATCCTAGACAGGTGGGGATGCTTGGGAACATTTAGCCTGTGGTGAAACATTATGTGCTGTTTTGGTTCAAAACCTACGGGTACCAATTCCCTGGCTGCAAATTCTGCTTGCAAAAAAGGAAACTTACACCTCCAGAATCTGCTGCCATATAATGAGAGCCGGGGTCAGGGGCTATAGAGGGACAGAGGGCAAAGCTTATGGCAAACATCAGAACACGAGAAGATCAAAGGCCTTTCTCTTCTGAAATGCCTAGCAAAGATTGACTCTGCCACCCAGCCTGTCACATGAACCACCTCAGAATTAACTAGCTTAGAAAAGAAAAAAAGAGAAATCTATCTGTACCAGGAATAAAGAAAAATATTAATTTCACTGGCAGCAGATGAAAGATGTCTGTGTAGCTGCGATCTAACGAAAAAATGAATTAAACAGTGGCTAAAGCGAGCGCTCTGAAAAATAACTTAAATGGATCATGATATGACCAGAGCTGTAATCGCAATTAATTATATGCTGCTTCATGCAGCCGCTTCCTTTTGCCATTTAGCTCAAATGTGGTACTTAAAAATACTTCAACATTTCTTTGTCCAGACTACAGTCAGTAATTCATTATGAGCCAAATATTATCTTCCAGGACCCTGAGATAACTCCTGCAGATTTCAGGGGATGTGGACGTGCTACTTAGGGCCTGAGCTCAGGGAGAAGCTGAGTTACAGTGTGAGCATCAGCTACAATTTTGTTATCAAGAGGATGTAGATTTAGAACACTCAACCTCCAGATGAGGAGGACATCATCCCTAATCAATTAAAACTGGGCTGGCCAAAGGGCTGCGAAATGTGTGGCTGGCCAAAAACATCCTGAGTGTCATGCCGGATCTCATGCTATTCCCATCATCTTCCCCTCAACCTTTCACTCAGTGATTTTTATGTCCTTTCCTTGGATTGACAGCCTCCCACTTCCCACTCTCAGAGCCCCGAAGTCCATATGCAGTCACTGTCAAAAGACTTCAGTGTGGGACATCAGCTCTGCTCCCAACCTTTCTCCTGAAAGCATGTGAGCCCTTGGCCTAAGGGGCTTGGGGAAGGAGCAGCCTCCAAATCCCACCCTTCAGATGCTCGAGTGCTGCATAAACCTCCTGTTTGGCCTGTGCTCAGGACCGTATTTTACCTTACACACAACTGGTGGCAGACAAAGGCAAGGCCATACAGCAGCTGCCAATTAACCCAGCCCAGCTGAGCTACAGGGAACATTCTCATGTTGGATTCGAACATGCCAGTTGATTGTAGCTGCTTCCTTTGCTGTCAAGTCAGCCTACTTCTTTGAGCTTTCAGACCCACACACTGATGTCATGAGGCTCTAATTAAGTCTAACCCCTTAGAAATTAAGAGATAAATGGTTGAGATGTAAGCTCACATTTGTCAGTATTGATTTCATCTTTTAATTGAGGGGTGTAGTGTATCTGTCTTTTCCATACAGGGCAAACATTTGTGCTCTGATTATATCTACCTGTCTTCCCTAGATTAGTTGTGATGATGGGGGTGGTAGCATGGCAGTGACAGACATTACTTGCAACTATACCTTTCAACTTACTTTAAATAGCAGTTTCACTATAAATTATTACCAGGGCTGTATTTTCAGCAGCTTTAAAAAGCTAATTAGCAACTAGAAACAAAAGGAGCTCTGAGCAGCCTGTGGCCACGGAGATCCCTCTAGCTGGTAAGTAAACACCTGCAGAGTGCAGCAGGACAGGACCTCTCTTAATTGCTCAGTGGAAAAAGCAGTGAGATGCTGATGAGAAAGTGCAGGTACAGGCAGTGAGGAGAAACATGCACATATTGAGGGCAGGGGAAGGCAGAGAACTTAAAACAGAGGGAACACAGAGGTTATCCCTGAATTCAGCCCTAAGCGAAACAGGGATCAAGCAGCATCAGTCCCTAACCAATTAATCTTGTATGCCACAGTGTGCCTGCTTAGGGCAAAGCTCTGCCTACTATTTAAGAGCCTTTGGAGGAAGTGGCAGAGGGTTCAGATCTTCTTGAATACTCAGACTGAAAAAAGAGGACTTTTAGGGACAAACGAGAAAAGACAATAAGCAAAGCACTGACAGCAGCTTAGGCCATACTTATGGAAATCCTCGATGCAGTGGATGTTCCCGCCAGCATCCACAGTGAAGGGGATCCCATCCAGGCTGCGATGGCACATCACACAGGTGAAACAGTGGGGATGATAGGCCTTCCCAGTGGCTCGGAGGATCCTTTCCATGATGGGCTTTGCGCAGACACTGCATTGCTCCAGTGTATTCTGCAAAGAAAACATACACAACAGATGTGAGCACCATCTCAGTGGGACATTTACAAAGGTCAGCTGGGTTGGAGGCTGCTGCTGGTTTACTTGGAAGCTTTAGCCATTTCTTCTAGATAAGTGCAGTACAGTCAACAGTTATCAAAGAGTATGATAACAGCACAGAGCCTGGGTCAAGCCCTTATATAGTGTGACAACACAAACCAGAGCCTTCTCTCAGCAGCTCTGATAAATGATCAGAGAGAGCCCATCAGGTGGGTGTGTCAGACACCGCAGCTTCTGTAGCCAGGAGCACGTGAAGGAGTTCTGCAGCCTGCACTCCTGGGCTTTTGCCTGTGGACTGCCCAGCCTGAGTGACCTTTTGCAGTGGAGATGATTAGAGACAAGCTCCAACAGAGGTCAGTGCAAAGCTGAAGTGCAAACTCCTGGGGCTACACAGAGATCCCCTAACTGCTCTGCCAATACAGATCCCATAAAAATATCTTCATCTGCTTTGTATGAAAATCTTGCTCTTCTTCTCTCACCACAGAGAATACTGTTGAGTCTGGGGATAGAGCAAAGCCGAGGCTGCAACGAAAGCATCGCAAGGACAGGAGTTCAGGATGACTTAAATGGTTCATTTATCTCTGGCCCACAGTGTTTGAGATAATAACTGTGAAATGCCAGCTCTAAGGCCATGATCCTTGCTGCACAGGTTTTACATACTGGCCTGCTCCTGAAGTGCTGGAGCCAAAAAAATTCCCACCTTTCAAGTGGGGTCCATTGAATGATTCATCTCATTTCAACCCTCACTCACCCCTGCAGTTAATTATAGAAACAGCAAGATAATTTTGTTTCAGATGGTTGTCTGTGAACCACACCAGCTCTTCTGACACCAGCTGGGTAACTTACTCTTTCAAACCAAGCACTTTAAAGACACATGCCATGAACAGAGGGTGCAATCCACAAAGATGTGAACAATATCATTTCACTGGAAACACAAAACTTAGGAAAGCAAAATTAATCTACTATTTTTGCTTCATGCACCCTGAAGTTATCAAATAATGTCATTAATCAGCATCTGCATCTTGGGTGAGGTAGAAAAGTCTGTAATTACACTATTGATTATCGTTTAGATAGACAGAAATAAGGAGGGTGGGGAAAGGAAAAAATGTAATGGGACAGAAACATAAAAAAGCTGCTGAAAGGCAGATCATGTTGACAAACACAGGAAGGCTGAAGTTCTTCTGCTTCCTCATGCAACAAAATTCCCAGGGAAAGTAGTGCTTTGACTGACCGCATTGTTATTGTTTCTTTGAGCCAGTATTCTCAGGGGCAAGATCCAGTCCTTACATGTGCAGCCAAAATGTATTGTCAGGAGATGAATCACTCAGGAGCTCAGAAAGGTTACTTCTACATTCATACATTTGCTATCATACATATATCTCTGGGCTGCACATGACTGGTAATGTACAAACATAGAAATACACAAGTTTATAATCAGAAGATCCAAAAGATTGTTTTTGGAAAGGTCTATATGAAAAGTCCTGAATTTCAAACCATATGAGAACTGCCTCACAGATTTGTAAAGAGCGCACAGCCAGACTAGCATTGAATTCAGACTGGATTTTGCTTCGTACCTTGTAATAATGGGCAGGAAAGAATGACTGCTGGCCCTTTTGTCTGGTTGCTGTCACCATCATCATCATTGTAACAGTAGCTGGTATGCCAGAAAAAGCAAGGTCAACAATTTTCTCCTTGGAGAAATAACCTGGCAAATGTACCATTTTGCTTTGCATAAGCAGATCACATCATCTCAGTCCGCATCCATGCTGTTCTCTGTATTTTTCTGCCAAGGAAGGAATGCAGCATACCTGCGGATACTGACGGAAGATTGTGCCTTTCATAAGGTGTTTGCTATGACACCCTCTGAATACACACAAGTACTGAGCGTTTGCCTCACCAAGTCACTGCTTGCTTCTTGTCCAACAGTTGCCAGCAACAGAGGCCAAAGTATGAGAACAGGGCTAGCAAAACACAGCAATTCCTTAGGATGTGCTTCCAGCATCCACTGATTGCTGGTTTAGGGACTTCCTGAGACAGAGCTTGGCTTTTCCCTTAAGCGGCATGTTTCTCCCATGAACTTTCTTGATAATTTTTGAATTCTGATAAACACTGAGCACCCACAACACGACCAGGAGTTCCCTGGCATACAACCACGTTGGGGACTGATCAGCCCAGCAGTTCCCCTGGTCTGCTACCCCTGCCAATGGCCTGGCCTTCCAGACAGCAGCACAGAACACAGCCCACCTGAGACTGTGAACAGAGAAGAACCCTGCAGCACCAATCCAACCTGCAAGGGGATTTAGCACCAAACACCGTGGCCTGGAACTGCTCTCACTATGGATCTAACTCCTGCTCATACATTTCAGATAGGACTGCAAGGGATCATTACAACAACCGTCTTGTCTGAATTTTCATGGTAACACTGACTTTGGTGGGAGTTTCACAGTGACCAGGACAGCAGGCAATCACCCTTATGGGTTATGCCTTCTGAAAACACACATTTTCTGATCCCAAATCTCATCTCTGTCACACTGTTTGACATTCTCACAGCTAAGTAAGACAAGCATTTTAAATTAACCAACTCCCTATTAAACCTTCTATACAACCTGAAAATTAGACCTGAGAAGTTTATTCTTTTCATCCTTCCAAGTCTCTACCAGTGAGGAAAAACAAAGTCATTAGTTTCAGACTCCAGCTCACTCCCTGTCTGGGAGCGTATTTGCTTAAGTCTCTCTCCTTGCTAGAACCCTGGCTCAGCCCCTTCTCTTCAAGGTGTTACCAGATGATGCCAAAGGGAAAGCTTCCTTGATTCACACCCATTTGACATCAGGTTGCTCTAAGGCAGGATTTGGCCTGTGGAGCTAACAGGGTTTTCTTTGACTCTCTAATCAGGTTATCCCACATGCCAAAGTGCTGCCCCAGCAGCTAACAACCTGCATAAATGTATTTCTGCACATTACGGGAATGGCATCCCTGCTGGATTATAAGTTTGGCTTCTTGATTTTGCTCTCTTTCACAGTTTAGCTAACTCTCCTAGCACCTCCTGGAGCTTTCAAATCTACAAAAAGCCAAACAAGATGAAGAAAAATGCCTATAAGACCTATTTTTCTTCTTTTCTCCCAAGCTGTTGCCAGCTCTCTGTGTAATCAACAGGTAGAGCTGAGTGCTTCTGATCAGCTACACCGAGGACTAAGACAAGGCACAGAGAAGAAACATGAGAAACAGCTAGGAAAAATTAGGCCCTAGGGGCTGTGGTCAAATTCATAAGAATATGGTCCACAAATCCAGTGTGGGTTGAGGGGAAAATTTACGAACCTTCTCCCATACTTTGGCTAAGAGGAAGGGAGAGCCCTTCTTTTTTAGAGACATTTGTATCTCCAAATCCAGTTTGGATTTGAAAATCACAGGGAAGGAACCATCCACTTCTAAGTGGAAGGTTGGCACAATGTTAAAAGCTGAGTCTGGGCCCAGGTTTTCTGAAGGCAGAACTGCTTATCCATGGCAAAGAAAAAGAATCTCACATGGAGAGAATAAAGCAAATAGCAGCCAGAAAAATAACCCAAGCAAAGGCACACTAAAACACAACGAAAGAACTGAAATGACCAGGATATCAAGCATCAGCTTGCAAGTAAAAACTCAGAGACTTAAACACATGCAACACAATCAGTGGCAAAGTGGGAACAAACTGCTTGGGACCAAGCATCTAGAAGCAAGTGGTGGTGGGAGTTGTTTGACCTCCCTAAAGCAATACTTGTCCCTTCAGAAACCACAGAAAGCCAAAGGGAGTCACTCTGCAGACATCAAGTTTAAATATGGGACATGAAGTGAAACCCTAGACTGCTGGGAAAGACTTCTGGGTTGCAAGAGCCATTGAAGACTTGAGCAGGGAAGTGTTTGAATCCCCTCCTGAAAATTTCACATCCCAGATGGCAAGGTGGCAAACAGCTCTGGGGAGCAGAGGTGCAGTGACAGCCTATGGGTTGCAGCTCATCCTGCTTCCCTAATGCTGCAGATTATAACCCCTCATATCCAAATTTTGGGTGACAGCAGTAACTCACAAGATCGTGCAGCACAAAGACTCTCCCACAACGACCTAGCAATGAGTGCACAAGAAAAGCCACACAGATTAGTCATTGCGTCTTCTGTATTGGCAATGCATCCCAAACTCTAATGAACATAAATAATCTCTCTTGCACTCTGAACACCAGACAGAGGAGAGCTCACGCACAGAGACATGAGCATGGTACTGCTTATTTTGCTCAGAGACGGGAGGGAAGTTGCTGGAATAAAGTACATTGGCAACTCATGCACAGGGACACAACCTCACTTTCTGTGAGTATTGCAGGAGAAACACATTTTTTGAAGTGACTGAGCAGAGGAGATGGTATTAAGCCACATGAATCAAAAGTGACTGTTGTGCTAAAAACAGGCACATGGTCAAATGCTATAGTTGAACAGTAACTTAGTAAAGTGTGGTAAGTGACTTGCTTTAAATCTTGTGACTCCGTCCTTCATTTCCTCAGACGGCGAGGAGAGCAGAGCAGCAGACATTTTTCCCCTTGTGGGATAATTTTTGAGGCTTGAAAATGTTTCCATACTTAAGTGAAGACAGAACACTTTAATCTCAAGAAGTCTGGTGAATTTATAAACCCCAAATTAGATCAGGTCAATTGAAACAGTGCACTTCAAATAATTTCAAATGGTTTCATTTAGGTTTTGGGTCTGAAAATATATAGTTGGATTACAAATTATATATAAAGCAGACATTGGTGGCAGGGGGGTTAAGTATCGAGATGTAATTTCAACACTTTCAAACTCTTTTTTGGCATTACTTCTAGAAAAGGAAAATCCAAGACCTGATTTCCACCTCAGGCTCCCCAACTGCTATCTCCACAAATGGGTAGATCTTGGAAAAGTAACATTTAAGTCACTAAAAGCTATCACAAAATTCCTTC